AGCATCCGCCGCGCCGTCGACCGCGACGGCGGCAACCCAGACTGAATTTACGAATTTTCACAGCACGTTATCTCCGAATCTAGACCTCGATTGCCGTGGCCCGCGGAACCTCAATCGATTGGGAGCATGGTCTGATTTTCCGTGGCCTGTCCTGCTTCCCTGATGGACTGGAACACTGACCCTCTTTAGGAGGTTTTTCTCGATCTCGCCCTTGACCTCGAAAATTTCGGAGCAGATAGCTCATCCTCGTCGGTCGATGCCATCTCTTTATAGACTGAGCGTCTGAGCTCTCAGCACTCTCAGATCGAATGGAGGTCCACTCCTGCAATGGGAGAGATAGCCTGACGCTTAGGGTGTGCGCTGCGCCGCCGTCGTCGCCGCAAACTTCCGGATGCTGACGGAAAGGAACATGAGAGAACCATCAACACAACCTCATCAACCACAATCAGGGGAATGGTAAGGATGGGAAAATAGCGACAGGAGAAAAAGGAAAAACTAGTTTCGCTCCTCGTTCTGCAATTACATCCGCCGCTACACATTCTCCCTAAGCGGACGCGGACCTGGCTTCGTGGATGGTGAAATGAGCGCGGAAGCTCCTCCGCCGGTCAAGTTCGCTAGACGACTGGCTCTCATCCCTCTCGTCCGTCCCCTCGCTCGCTCGTCCGGTCGTCCGCTTGGTTGTTCCCATTTCCTCGGTGGTCATTATTCTTCAGCTGCTGCTCGATTATAAGGCATCAGAGCGATGAGCTCATCATCACAAATAAGACTTCACTGAGTACACGCCCACCCATGCATGAAAACAAATACAATACTCACTAACAGTGAGAACAGTCGCCCAGCCGTGAGATCCGCTGATCACCGTGTCATTCGTCCGCTCACGAGACATCATTCCCTCTCGGAGTCATTTCCCCGGACGGTAGCAACGATCTATTCGAAGCTCGCAAGTGCAGGGAGAAGTGATGAACTTTCGCGTTTCGAGCTCGATCGATTTGAATCGGAGGTATCCATATCCCTCGCGGGTGAAGTGCGCTGTCAACGATTTACGTAGCCCGAAAATTCTCGAGCGCATCGATCATACGCTTCGGGGCACGGACCGAAATAGTTTTTTGAATCACTGGCCTTATCAATCTATTGTTCCGCTTGTCGATTCGACTCGACGATTCTCCGAGAATGAGTCAAGAGCAAGGTTGAGACTCGAGAGTTGGAGCATAGCCGACTGATCCGTAAGCTTTCAGACGGACTTTATCGATCGCGACCCATCGAGAACGTGATTCGTCCCCCGGAATGCCCCGGAATCATCGGGGGTCCTGTAGGAGAATGGAATGCTAGCGTCTAATCCATGATGTGTGGAAGAGCATTTGCGCGGTGGTCTCGACCGCGTCGCAACTCCCGCAGTGAACCGAAAGCGGCCGCACTCTCTCCTGTCGTATGCTCCGCTTCCGACAACGCTCTGGAATGACGAACTTCCCGAAAATCCGGCCGCGGCACCCGGCCTCCTCTCGGTTGCCGTCCTGCTGGAGTCGGCCTCTCTATCGGTCCAGGCTTCGCGCCGCGTCGGCCCGAGGATCGATCCTCTTTCGGTTCCTTTCACAGAATCTCTCTCCGTCGTGTGGTTGCAATCAGGTCGTGCCTGTTCATTAGAGAGAGAGAGGGGGAGACCGAAAGAGGGAGCTTTGAATAGGATTCCATGTCGCTCTCAGAGGTCAATTGTTTGGAGGAATTTGTGATTAGGATTTGAGTTCGGATCCAGAGCCCCGGCAAGTCCCTGCAGAGCTGCAGCCTCGGCCCGCATATCGGTGAGCGAGTCAATCAGCCAGACAGTCAATCAGTCGAGCGCTTTTCAGTCAGCTTGCAGGAACACTCGAATGCGTTTCGCGTTACCTGAGCACGGATTGCCTCCGATGGTGTTCGTTGTTCGATTTGGCTTGAGATGCGACTCACAGCAGCCCTCGTTCCTCGCCTATTTCGGACAGCTCAAATTCCATCCCGGAGCGGCGCGAGCAGCGAAGAACAAACACCTGCTCTGTGTGAGCTTATCATTAGAGCGCTCCTCGATCCCTTCGCCAATCTTACGGCTGAATTTTTCGTCGCAACTCACACGGCTCCCAACTTACGCCCGGGTTACTCTTACAATTAGTCGAGTCCCCATGATTTCAGAGGAATAACTCCGATGTCAGTGACTTCTGATAATGAGATGAGGCTTTGTCTAACGATGAGTGACTTCCATAGCCCCGTCTGACGGATAGAAAACTTTTTCACATCCTAATCGCGTATCCTCCATACATCTTCATTTCATTATATAGCCGGAGGAAGTCCTCATCTCTAATCCTAAGCTTGGACGAAAGATACGTCCAAGCTTCCCTGCGGGATAAACTGTGCGACAACGTCGAAAATTATTCCATACTTTTTGTACATGTATATTTAGTTTGCGTGCTTCACGGCCATACAGCGAGATCTCACGTCTCTGCCGTTGACACTGATGGATCTTGACAGAAGCTAGATCCACTCGAAACGCATAGAATGACTAAACACCACCGTGATCGATTGGGAGCTAGCCAGCCAGCGCTGGATACCGTTTAATCGCTTTCCGGTAGACACTTCTGCGACCCAAGTCGTTCGCTCGCCATTCAACCCGCAGCGACCATTATAAATGGGTTCGGTCATTAGTGTGTAGGGATCCATTACAGGGATGCGTGCAAGTTCTGAGTGCGAACTTGTGTTCCACACTAAATCAGTTTAGGTCTTAATTATTCAGCGATAGAAGCTGCCACGGAATGATTTATACCGCGCTGTTCACGGCGGCCTGACATGCGACAAGATGAGATCGAATGAAGTTTTGAGACCGTCCTCAGCTCTATCTACGCAATATTCCCTGACCCACCCCTGAGTTCAGAAGAAGGAGCCAGAAGCCGGAAAGCATCCCAAAATATCGGTTATGGCGACAATTTCAGGAGCAAGGGCCCGGAAGGTCCGTGCAGTACCAGGGAGGCGATCTCCTACCTGAGGTAAGTGCGGGGGTCTTCACAGGTGAACGAGTCGCGGAGCACGGTCGAGGTCGACCTTGCCCGCTGAAGAAACTACAAAATATATTTCCCTTAGAATTATCTGATGACGTTCCTGGGCCCGGAGCGGACGAACCGACGCGTATCGTAGGCTCGTGGTCAGGATCACTCAAGAATAGGATGCCTCGAAAAAATGTTCTCGCAGCTGTGTGGACTTGAAAGTTCACACTGTTCCGTCACATGAACTTCCGGTTCACTGATACTTCTTGCAATTAGTGAAGCGGTCGGAGTCGGACTAGGTTCGATGTGCAAAGCGGTTGGGATGCCGACAGATTTGCCCTCGTCTGTTTGACCATTCCGATCCAGAAAATTCTTCGTCGTTCGCGTGAGAAAAGATTCGGAAGATGCTGCTCGAACACCAGGGAATGGCCAAGGACAGTCGAGAGGAATCGGTTCCCGTCCGCTTCCTCCTTCAAAAATATTTTCCGTTCCATTTGCGGAGCTCCAGAAGGTGTCTGCTTCTATTTGACGGAATCGTTCTCCAGAAAAGGAGCGGCCTACAAGTCCGGCATCCGTCAGTCAAAAACAGAGCTCGGTCGTCCATTTGCAGGGAAATTGCTTCTTAGAACTTTTTTTTCTTCTCGATCGATTCAATTGAATGAATGCCGGAGCTTCCCCGATGGGGACGTGCTCTCGTCCCGAAAACAGACAAAATGTCGATACTTGATCTTTCGCCGCTCTATCCTGCAAGAGCCAGCGTCCGAGCTCCTTGGGCACTGTGCTGTCACGTCGACCTCTCCGCGCAAATCTTTTTTAATTAATGACCACCTCTACGAAAATCCGCGTGAACCTTATCGTCACCCCGACAAGATGGGGAGAGAATAAGGATCGGTCGTTGACTGCTCTGTAGGACCAACTCTCTTGGAATCGAAATCCGTCCTGAGCTGTTGAGCTGCCGGACACGACGGACGGAGACGATCCGCCGACCGATGGATAAAAATCATCTCAATTCCCTAATGACGCAAGCTGTTCCGCTTCGTTAGCGTTCGTTGTTCGAATCATCAAGCGAGGCTTTTCTAATGAATCCCAATATCCCAATCCCAATTAAAAATAAACAGGATACTCGTTCTCCGCCGCGTCCAGGCTACTTGTTCAGCGTTATCCCGTGCTTTCCCTCGGTCTCAATATCCCGCCCGCCTGCTCGCCATCGCACAGGGGCGCTCGACGTCGAATTCCTCGACGGCTCCCCGGAGTCCCTTCCAGGGTTTTGGAGCTCAGCCCGGCCGCTCTGCCGCTCAGGCAGAATTTCCGATTCGGGTCCAGCCTCCTTCGCAAACCCGCCACCCCGCTCCCTTCCCGCCGTCGAATTTCCGTTCATTTCTGCCGAGAACATATCGGGTGAGAGCAGGAGGATCCCGAGCTGTATATGTATAGGTAAACAAAATCTTGGAGTTTATTATCAAATAGCTTTATCCAGGGTCGTTCCTTTACTCGAGCTTAAGAATATTGTAAGATGTCTTGAGATTTGATGCTGTGGAACAGCGGGTCGAGGAATTCGGCGCGTTGCCAGCCGTCCATCTTCGATGAAGGTATCATATGAGTAAGTAACAGCCAGATTCGCTCAGCCGTTTCATCTGGGCTCATACCACTATTGAACAGATAGTACAGATGATAAACCAATCATGATATAAGACTTACAGCAGTAATTCGTCCCCCAGCACTGCAAGAGAGACAGGGAACTTCCGTTCTCTTAGATACATTACTCGTAGATTTGATGGATCAGCTGTCCATCATTGAAGATGTACATGATCATTCGAGAGCTCCATGCGAGTGGCTCGCGTGAAAGTTCTAGACCGTTTTTTTATTGCGTCAGCTCACTCAAGATCTCCCAGTGAGGTCGAGAGACTCTAGCTTTCATGTTGATCCACGACATGGAAATGTCATTCCAGCCGTTTGACTTTCGTCGAATATTTTGGGAACGGAGTTATTTGCCCCCTTTATCCGGTCAGGTATGAAATTTATATCACGGCTTGCTGGAACGAGAGTGAGTACAGGGTATTTGATGCAGTTTCTACATTGTTGTCGGTTCGAGGAGCCGCGGTAGAATCTCTTCTTATGCCACCGAACATTAGGAGTTCGCCTGCAAAGGAAAGTTCTCACTGAACTGATTATGTCCGAACCCTGGCGAGGATAGTGATCTTACAAGCGAGATCGAACCGCGAGCTCAATACCTGACCTCACGCCTCTGACACGATGATTCGACCTGATTCCATCTGACTGATGATGTTGCTCACCTTCGCCTTTGACGAGTGTGTAGAGCACAAGATGCTCGGGTTGCCGAGCCGAGGTCTCGCCTCGCTCGAGCCACGTAACTCGATGCTTTTCAACAAGTTCCGAAATGTTCAGTGCGTAGACACACATCGTGGACTGCCACGCTTTTGTGCTGGGATCGGAAGCAGAAAAAGGTAATTACTCCTAGATGGTTGCAAAACATTCGGATCCCAATAATAGGACATCGGAGGAAAATTTACCCTGAGGTATTGGGCGGGAAGTTGAAGTCCGCAGCGTTCAGCGTCGACGGTCCCGAGCTGCCCGATCGATGGAGAATGTTCTTCTTCGCATACCGACTACGACCTAGAATGACGACATTATCGCCAACGCGACAAGCGGGATGGAAGCTGAGCCTGGAAGGAATATCTCGTATTCTTCAGAAGAAGCGTACAGAGGAACCGCCCTGCGCATCCTCGGACCCACCCGAGCTTCACTTGAATTGGACATACAGTGAAACCTGTCTCCTGGAACTACTGTGCAGCCAACACGGGATCACAGACACCGCCCTAGCTGCGGCGACACCTGAGCTTTCCGGCCGTTTTCCCACGAACCGATCGCGATAGAGGCCTATGAAGTTCTCAACGCGTAATCGGACCGCCTGAGTTATCACCGTGAATTCCTATGGAACCGCGGGTGGTCTGGCAAAACGGTCCTACAATAAAGTGGTCCCCGCGTGCGGTAGTTCCGTGGTACAGGTTTCACTGTATTGGTCATGAGGATGATTTACCTTGGCGCGCCGTCTTTCTGATTGGTGACTTCTATCAAATGCCACTTCCAATTTCGACCACTCGGGAAGCCTTCACTGTCTCCGTCGTCCAACGCCTGCGATGGAGGGCAATTAGGGACTCACTTGGATATATCGGCTGCTCCATCCGGCGACCGTCGTTTAGACTCTTTGGAGAGCTTCGATCACTTCTCTCAGCGGAGGAACATCGAGAGTCCGACTTACCTCCAACAACCACATGTCATACAGCATCTCGTCCGGTCCGCTACATCCACCTGTAAAACGAATCATGAGCGATTCGATTCAATTCCCAGGAGCGAAACGAATACGCTCCTTCCCGAACATACATGATTGAGTATTCGCATAGCTCTCAAAGCACGGACAGCTCCTCGAAGACTGCGACTCTTTTCACCATAATATAATTGACGATATTATCTATTGGGATACCTGAGGTTGCTTGCCAACAAGTCACGCCTATGTCGCCAAGGTCTCGAACGCCTCCATGTAAGGAGTAGTTCGCCCTTTTGTCAGTTTGGCTTGGAGTGCCGACTCTTTACAATGTCATCAACAAGCATCGATCAGAAGGAGAAACTCACCAATGATGAAAATGTGATGGTCATCCACAATGATCTGGGAATGACCGTATCTAGCTTTGGGTTTTTTGCCTTCTATTGTTTGTTTCTGCCACTGCATGCTCCGTAGATCGAGAAGCCAGATGTCGTTCGACCTGGAGAATTATTGTTTGGATTTAGGAACGACCCACACGTGGATTATAGCGAGGTCGAGAGCCCAGGTGAGACCCCGGATACCTGAAATCTAAGGAATATCTTCCAGAAGCTGACTCACATATTGTAAGGAGGACCGCGGCCGTCATCAAGAGCTTGGAGTCCTCCAAATAGCAGCATCAAGTTTTTCCGGAACAAAGCGGCCGAATGACCCGCGGTCGCTGGGCAGAAACCTGAGAGAATGGAAGAGTCGTCCAATTAGATTGCGTTGTCCTCCCACCGCTTCCTGGCTCCGTCATGGAAAATGTTCTCGGTCAGAACTTGTTACACATATCCGCATTGATGTCCTCACTCACAATCAGTCCGAAGTATTGAGTCACTCGTCATTAATGACATATATCATTCAAATAATATTCAAAACTCATATGTGATTCGGACTTACCTATTTCCATTTAGCAAATAGAAGTTCAATCGCACTCACCTGAGCTTTCTCGACGTGCTACTTCGGTCCATCTATTCAATGCAGGATCGAAGAGGTGTATACTATCGAATATACGCCATGACTGGAACAGAAGAGCAAATGATTTAGTGTTCCCGGATGAGTTCCCTATTCCTGTTTCCGTAGATAGGCGGAACCTTCCACGGATGATCCAGATAAATGAAAGTTCCGACTGTGCGATGACCTACATTGTACAAAGGGTAATACGGTGATGTGTGCGCCCAGCCTCCGAAAAGCACAAGTTTTTCTTTGTACGCTATTAAGGAAGAGCAGGCTTTTGGAGGCGGAGGTGTCCCGAACGACAACGGTCTGACCCAAACCCTGCGTGAGAGATCGAAAGACCTGCGAGGGGAGTCTTCTGAGTTAGAGCGCCCGATCAGTGTACGAAAGAACGAGAGCACCTCATCAGAGAATTCAGACGAGTGCCTATGTTCGGAGGGCGCTCACCAGAGATCATTATAAGTTGTCGAAGTGTTAGAAGTGCATCCGCCGAAAATGTACATTCGTCTCCCGAGCACAGCACAAGCGTGAGAATGTCGTTTCTGAATGCCTTTAGTGGGAGGAGTCCAGGGTAGTCTTAAGAATCGTCCGAGGGCATATCGCTCCGAATCAGTCTACATTCAGATTCATGTAAACATTCTTCTCGAGAGCAGACTTACATGAAGAAGTCCCGGCTTGTTGTCTCTTAATGAACCAGTCCAATGCTTGCTTCTGCACCGCCTCGTTCAAACCACGTCTTTTTTTCTCCAAGGCACTTTTCGCCATCCGATTCCACAAATGATTCACCTGAATGTAAGAATCGAATAGATGGTCGTCCCAGGTTCACTTTCACTCAGTCGGTCATCCTCCTGCTTGACGGGGAATGGTACATATAATGGTCAAGGGACCTGGTCGACCAAGCCGACCAGACTGCGCGCAGTTCTCACCTGGGAACATGATTTAAGATCAGAATACGGTGAGACGTGCAGAAGTATGTACTCCAGAACATACTCTGGCAAGTCGTTGATCGAAGCCATTTGCGCTCCTACGATGGGTCACGAATTCCTAGGAATGATCGTCTCAATCATTCCCGGGCTACCTCAGCTCGAGCTACGATCGGTGGTGGGGATTATCCTCAGATAGTCTGATCTGAGATCCTGCTTCAATAGAACGAGTGTCAGCGAATCAAAGAAGATCATCTGATCGCCGAAGCCCGACGATTTTTCGAACAGCTGCTCGGGGGACCTTGAGTGTTTTAATTGGGAACTCACCGAGGCCGAAGAATGGGATTCTGATGGTAGTCATCTCACATGCGGATGAAAGTCATGTTTGCCATCACAAGCAGCTGAGAATCATCCGTGGGTCCGAGGAGGCAGGGACAGTGGAACATTTTTCAAGTCCACCGACGAATGGGAGAGAGCGGAGCAACATGGCGGCGCCCTGTTCAAATCTGCGCGCAGTAAACAGAACAAGAGTTTTTGTCAGGAGGCATTGGCCGAACTCCCCGCGGAGCCACTGATATCTCGAAGCGATGCGACGCCAACCACTATAAATTCTTCAACTTCAGCCATTCTGAATTCGAATCTATGCAGCTCTTATGGCCTGTGCCTGTGCGGTTGTCGGTCGGGAAAGTATGCTCCTCCTCGAGATCGGATGGATAAAGATGATCCAATTGACCATCCCCCTCCCTCATCATTTCAAGAACGGTCATGCTCGGTTGGTATCGACGACTTGCGTGACTTCTCCACATCGCTTCGCGGAAGGCATGTCCATACGCATTATTCACCGAAAATTTCCTGCAAGTGTCTACCCCTACCTGGAATCGGAAGATCGGAGTTTAGCCAACCGGATGGGGGGCTCCGGTAACCTCAACAGTCTGATACCTAGTAGTCTGGTTTTGAGTCTAGGCATAGGATCCCATGTTTTCCCCGGCTCAAGCTGAGCGCCTGAAGAGGACATAAGTACCGTCCCCTGATATCATCGGACCAGAGTCGAGATCGGATAGTCCCTCCAGGACTCCAGGATCGACGCTCAGGTGACGGCCAGGACATATCCCGAGTGCCTAGTCGATAAGCCGAACCTGCGACCTAGATTTCAATCGATCGAGCGAATCTCAGAAAAAAAGCGTTCGCCAAGGCAAGGATCCGATCCATTTGGCCCGAGGCGCAACTTCACATCTTGATCCCAAAAGAGGAACCGAAATAGATATCGGACCCAGCGGCCCGGGGACATTTGGAAGGAGGGTACCGATTGCGATGACCAACACGGAATCACAGACACCGCCCTAGCTGCGGCGACAGCCTCATTCTTCTGGGGAGCTCGCATTTACGATGACTTTCCTCGCATTGGGGAATCACGATCAATGCACTCCGAGCCGCGGTCATCATTTTGCTTGAAGATGAATCTTCAATGAACTTATTACACAACCTTTTTCTTTGGATTTTTCCGCGTTTCATGCGACGCATCCGATGACCTCGAGCGACATGAGATCTAAAGGCCTCAAAGCTTTTCGCATCGATGATATCAGCAGTATGCTCATCCTCAGGCTTAGAGCGTCTTCCAGATGCTGCGCGGTTCTCACGGGCAGCCCACCCTCGGCGTCAGAAGGTGTCCGACGAATTTGTGATGGATGAGGCGCTGGCTTTCGAGACTCGATGGTTCGTCGACTTCAATTCCAGGTACAGGAACCCAATCGTGTATATCTCCGGATAGATACATCTTCCAATAGAATTCAATTGGAAAAATCAGGTCCTCGGTGTCCCTCAAGTTCGCTGCGCGATTTTGCTCGCGAGGGCGTGTATGACTCATTGACATTGATCTTGCCCGAGCTCGAGGTCAAGCCCACAGAATGGCCTCAGATGCTCTCATTGTGGTCGAGGGCGCCTCGCCAAAAGATATTGGAGGGCCTGTCCTCTATTTCAGGATTCCTGTGGAATGACTCCCCCGGAAAGATCTCACCCTCCGGAGAATGACCCCGATTACCATAAAACATTGCTTCGAAGCCCCGAATCTATTTGACCCCACTGGATTATAGACCCGAACAACCAACTGACAGCATCAATTTACCCGTTCTTCATCCTTTCCAGGATCTAGTCGCTGCTTAATGGAGGTCCTGGGCTTCGGGACACTCGGTTGTCTCGCGGAGCATCGGAAGCGGAACTGCCTTCGTCATGATACTTCCGCAGATGTATCATTTTGTACATATAGCAGGATTGATTTCGTGGCAGTTTGAATTATTTCAGGAGAGCGATGAATAAAGGCAAAATGACAACACCGCAAACTTAGGAAGTCGCTCTGCGTACCTACGACTTTCTCCTGTTCGCCTGAATAACTGAGAGGCGCCCGTTTCCGTCGGTGAAATTCCTCCACTCCGCGAATGTAGGCGGAGGACCAGAGCAGCCCCCTCTTCCACAGCGGACGAGGCCGAGATGGAGTTCTCTAAATGAGGTGCGATTCATTTCATTGCGATTGAGCATTCCTACCTCGGAGTTCTCTTTCGATCGCAGCTTCCCTCCGTGAGAAGGTCATCGCGGAAGGCAGACAGCGAGTCTGGTATTCGATCGGACGCCCGTCAATGGCTTCGTGGCTCCCAGGAGCGGCACGGGCGAATGCTTATGACTCGATGAGTGAGACGAGTTCCCCGTAGGGGTAATCCGGATAATGGATCCTCCGCTTATTCGGACCAGAACGGCCTGGTCCCCATGTGCCCTATTCAGCAAGGTTTGCTTAGAGCAACTCCTCATTCTACATTAAAAGTCCTGTCTCCAGATTCGAGTCAGAACTCCCACCGGCAAATTCACTGATTGAACCGAGCATCCTTCGGAGTCTCGGCAGCGAGCAGAGATGAATAATTTTTGGAGGATTCTGGATCTTCGCGCTCATTACTTTATCAGATATTCAACAGGAGAAAAACACGTCAGTGGAATCATTTACGAGTGATGTTATCAAGAGCGAGGCAAGCGGAGACGGAGCAACAATTCAATTCCAAAGAATAAAATATGTCAGCCTTCGAAAATGTTCACTGAAGTTGTCTCGATCCTTATGAGCCAGGTGTAGCAGCGGTCGATCCTTGAGAACGTGACGCTCTCCGAGAGATGGCGCCGATCGGAATAGTTCGAGGTGGAGAAATACACCGCTCATCTATTCCGACATCCAGGCGAACTCTTCGCTCCACTCCATCAAGGAGTTTCGGAGATCTGAGCGGCGAAACCCCTCCGGGCGGCTCCTTGGATTCAGTCTCCTATTTCGCGGGAAAGATCAATCAAACATTGCTGGCTTGGATCCGATATTCACAATCCCGTATCGCTGAATCTTCAACATGCGACAAATGGCGGCGTAGCCGGCGAGCGAGTCCAACATGTCGCGATATTTGTGAATGAGCGATAAGACCCCACCCGGCCGCAGGGTGCAACCGAGGAGAAGGCGAATGATAAACAGCAAAAGAGTAAGGAGGCGCAATTGTCACACGGAACTAGCGAAGTGTGTTTGACGCCACCGGTGACGACTGAGCGAGCGTGGTGAGGAACAAGGAACGAGCAGACGACGGCGACAACGAAGAACACGATTCAATGCTTGTCAGATCCACTCGGAGGAAACTCTATTTACCCGGTCGCTCCCTCCCGCGAACCGACCGGGTCTTGTCCATAGCGGCGGATACGACGATGTCGTGTACGACTCGCTCAATACTCGCGAAAGAAGGTAAAACATCGAATACTAATGATGTCATCGGCCCTTCTGTCAGGGACAAGCATGCATTTATGCTTCGGACGGCTGTATCAACTGAACGATGCTGTACGGAATTTCCATGCTTGATACCCCCTGTTCTGTTCCTGTTGACCGATATATGTTCGTCGTCTTCCGAATTGAGGAAAACCTCGGAATGTCACTCCTCTATTGACTATCGGAGGATCCATCGAGGAAAATTCTGGGAGCATCTCTACTTTTCCAATCACCAGAATCGAGACGGAGGGAGTCTACGGGTGAGATGACGCTCGAAAGGAGCTCGGACTAATGAAAAGCAAAGCTCAGATTCACCGGGGTTGGAGCGGTGAATTTTTCAACTTCAATTCTCGATCAGGCCCATCGAATTGATTCTCGTCTGATGCACTGAGGAAGCTGAGAAAATACTCAGCCGATAGATATGAAACGTAAAAGAGATAAAGTTGTTCATGGAGGAACTCGGAGAATCAGAGCATCGAGCTTAGGGAGGCGCTTGAGGAGAAATGATACATGTTCTCAGATCCACAAGCAGATCGAAAGTCCGACGAGGTTTTCCATCCACTGAATATCAAACTATCGTGAGCGCAGGCGGAAAAATGCTCGTGGCGGGAGGGGAAGAAATTTCGTCGTTTGCCTAACTCCCCTCCCCCTGGATAGGGGACCGAGACATTCCCCAAGGGAAAGAGACGGGACGAAATTCGTTGGCGTTGTGAATTTTGTATTTTGACTCACGAAGGAGAACACCATTCGAACGAGAGGAGGACCGACCGACTGCCTGCGAGACTGCCTGAGAACGACCGTAGGAAAAGAATAGGGAATCTCCAACGAAATCGATTTCGTGTCCCGAGGCGCCGCTCGAGTTACGTCGCTTGAAAATTTCCTCGGCGTCGACTCTAGCTCTACGAAGTTCGGTCGGAGTCGAAGACAAGCAGCGGGAGTCTCACTGCTCCCATTGTTTCCCAGGATGGGGTTTCCCCTCGACTTTCGTCGCCGGATTGGCCTCGATTCCATTCGCTCGAGCATCGCCTGAGACCGTACCTGAACAGACACCCTTCATGGCTCTGAGACAAACATCGGTCGGGCGGTGTAAAAAGCTCCAGACAGTCACGCCAGTCGTCTGACTGAGAGCGAGGGGGAGAAACAGTTCCACGTTGGACCGGACGGTAGTGATATCGTAGTAAAATTCTCCGCTCGGAGTCTTGGGGGCACGCCGCCAGAAGTTTGGCCACATGAGATCGAAGCCGAAAGAGAACCCAGGGGAAGATGACTCGCTGCTTTCTAGCTGTTGTTCTATCTCAAAGTCCCTCTCTGGCTGAACCATGTTCGTTAGCATCGCCAGTCCTTTCGAAAGCGTTCGACTCGGGGCCACCAATTGAATGCTCATCCCATGAGGTCGAGCGGCGAGCGAGTCCAGCCTTCCGCAGATGAATGTGCCTTTCAGTTCTTGTAAGGCGACGCGTCCACCTTGAGTCAAAGGCGCATGATCGGCGCAGATTTCCAAATCCCAGAGCTCACCGATATCTGGGGTGACCCGGATTAGAATCAGGGCGCTCGAGGATGCATGCAAGCATCGAACCTCATAAGTATCGTCTGACTCGCGTGACAGCCGAAGCTCAACCGAACAGGCGCTGCAACCAACACAGAATGGAGTGCACGCTTCCTAAGACCG